GGTAAACAAATCAAATTGAATTCAAATTCAAATTATAAAAGTCCTTTTTGCCCCTTTTGTTTATTGCAAAATCCATTTGCAATTTGGGGGTGTGACAAAAAGCAAAGTTGAAGCTTATTTTATAAGGATCAACTTTGGTATTCAAAGTTTTTAAAGTTTACATATAAAATTTGGAGTAATTTTGAAATGATTCAAATGCTCAAATGCACCCCAAATTCAAATTTTAAAATGGAGGCAGAATTTGAAAATGTTCATTAAAGCAAAGTTGTAGAGTTTGAAAAGTTGAGCAACTTTCATTTTTGGAGATTTTCAACTTCTTTAGAAAATTTATGAGTAATTTACAAAATAAACACAGTGGCAATTCTGTAAATAGTTCAAAAATCAATTTGAAGCCGTCGGCGCCACGCAGCTGCTTGCCGCCGACCGTCTTCGCCGCTTTGTCGCGCGGTGACACGCTGCTGTCTCCGTGGCGAACTCGTTCGGGACCTATCGACGCCGAACGCCTCCTTCCCTTCTATAAATAGGAGCAACCGCCGCCGTCGTCCTTTCTTTCTTCTCTGCTCTGTTCCGCCACCGCTCAGCTCCGCCGCTCGCCGTAGCCGCCGTCGAACCCTTCCCATCATGCCTAGCTAAGCCAGTGTGATCGCCTCGAACTAGCGCTCCTCTTCGGCTTGCTCGCATTGCTTGGGTTGGCCAGAATCGCCCAGCGCAGCGCGTTCTTCCCCGTGACCGGTCGGAGCTCAGCCGCGATCACCTCACCGTGGTCAAGCCACTCCGGTGAGCCTCTCGTCGATTCTTCTTGTGGTTTAGCTTCCCCGTGTCATCCTGTTGCTCGTAAGCTCGCTCGTTTTCCCTATTGGAGCCTAGTCGTCGGAGAGTGTCTCGCCGCCGTGCCCGTGGTCGCCATGGCCGGCGTGGAGCTTTCTCCGGTGCGCCTGCAGCTGTTCTGAGGGTTGGGATAGGTTCATGGGGTGGTGTAGATCGTTCTGGTGTAGTCCGCCTCACCAGAGTCTCACCGCCGGCGCGGTTTGGTCGACCGGAGTCGACAGCACCGCCGTGTCCTATGTTTGTATCGCTGACATGCGGGGGCTGGTTGTCAGTGAGAGAGGGAGAGAGAACAGAGAGATTTGTTATTTTCTGAATTTTGAATAGTGCAGCAAGTTTGGAAAATCATAGGAAAATAATTACAACTTCAAAAATTCTAAAAATTTGTGTGTAGCCTCTGTACATGTTCTATTATGGTTTAAAAATATGAAACTTGAAATTTGACTAAAGTTTTAATGTTCAAAAATTCAGTCAATTAATTGATAAACGCAATTTCCATAATTTTTGTAGGCCACTGTATAACTCCAAAAATTATGAAATTTGTTTTGGTACACTAATTTGTCATGAGTAAGCTTGCATAAAATTTTGAGCTTAATTTAATGAAGTTGATTTTATACCTAATTTAGGCTTAATTATTTAATTAATTATTCACTTAGTTAATGCTTAATCATTTAGGGTTTGTTTGACTTTGGAATTGATTGTTGACCTTGGGTCAGTAACATATGATGATCCTTGGCACCTTAATTAGTTATTTGAGCTCATACCTAACTTATAATTAGTAAATCTTAATGACATTTCATGTGATAACAAAGGTCATTAGTAAGTTAACTTGTCGAAACCCTAGATGTTAGTGTTAATTGGTTTTGATTTACAACTATACCGTGAAGGAAAGTTGTATTAAAGGTGTTATTACATTTCATGCAACATGAAAGCATCATGTTTACATTATCATCATGTTGAAGTATATGTTATTATTTCATGTAGAATCCGAGAGTGAACCGATTTTAGTTGAGCAAGTTGTGGAAAAATCCCCGGTTGTCTCAGGATTTGATATTTGTGGTACTGATCCGGAATCTGAGATCGTCAACGAAGGCAAGCTCCGGTTTATGCATTAAACCATTACCTTGTTTACTTTGAAAAGTTTATCACCTATGTTACTTATTGCATTAAGTTGATTAATTCAAATGTTACCTACTTGATGCATTGCCTACCTTGTTAATTGTTTACCATCCTTGAAGATGATTTCATTTACAAAGGCGTAGAATTGCTTAGTATGCTTTGTGGTAGGCTTTCAAAGTAAAAGTTTCGATACAATCAAAGATGGCATACTGGTCAAAGAAAGAAAGAAGATAGAATGAACTAAAGACTAGTCGGGTGACTTATCTTGAATGTTGGGTAATGTTGCCGACTATGTCGCTTAAAGGCCACTCATTGTGGATCTTCTGAACGAGACACTTTGTAGTACTAGTCACATACTCCGGTAAGCCTACTTCGGCTAATCCGATACTAAGACGAATGCCCACGCACTGGGAGTGGAGAGATGGCGGGAGTAGCGTGTACCCTCGTGGCTGGAATGTGGCCGGATTGGAGGTGTGCTGTGCTCTCGGGTGGCATGCAGATGGCTTAGTATGGGAGGATTCGGTAGCGAGGTTGATATATGCAAGATTAATTTCTATATATGTCGTGTGATAAGGAATCCCCAGCTGGGACTTGAATCAATTCGAATTGCCGGTGCTCCGCGAATATGGAGACTCGATTCATTACAGAAGCAATGCAGGACTGGTGAATTACTAAAATATGAGAAAAAGAATGGAATGAGAAGGATTGGAACATGGGATATGAACACTTAGTTTGAGATAATGAACTAAAAGGACTTAGGGGTAAAACTCAAAAATAGGATCAAGAATAGTAAGCTTTTGGCAAAGAACTTTTGAATCTTGCTACATCCTTACCTTGACCCAACACCTGCATCTCTAAAGTCCTTCACCCCTTTTTCGTCGGGTCAGTCTTGTTGAGTACTTTTGTACTCAAGGTTTGTTAACCCTTGTTGCATGTGAGTCGCATGCGCAGGCTTGTTTTGGTCCCTGCTGTATGTCAGTGTTTGAAGTCGATGACGATGAGGAATGATGAATAGCCTTTGGACAAGGCACTAGTTTGTGTGAAATAAATAATGTTAATGTAATATTATCCCACTACTATGGTTGTATGATACGTATGGTTTTATAAGTTTGAAACAACTAGTTTGTAATATTAAAACTTAAGTCTTCTGCTTTATGATCTCTGATATGTATATTGAAAACTATTGTAATCTGTAATGTTTGTGATTGGGATCCTGTTTGAAAAAGATTCATGAATGATTCGAATTTTACGAGGACACCCGATAGATCTGTTAAGTTGTTGAGAACTCGTGTATGCTATCAGAGGTCTGTTGAGACATCAATAGGTGCATGTGGGTCCGATTTCTTAGGAGGTTCTGCCACAATATGACCCTGGATACCCACACCAGACCACGTGGGCTGCGCCCCCAGGGGCGGCCCAGCCCACAAGACGAAGCCTTGCGGGGCACGGCGTTGCTCGACGAGTCCCGCAAGACACTGGAAAGATATCCTGAAGATACTACGAGATCTGTTAGGATACGTATGATCCCATGATTCCTGTAATCTGTTATTACTTTTCGATTATCTCCTAAATCTAATCGACTTGTAACCCTGTCCCCGGACTATATAAGGCGGGCATGGACCCCCTCCAAACACACGCAATATTATATTATAGCCAATACAATGCAACAGACCACAAGAGTAGGGTATTACATCACGCCGACGCCTCGAACCTGTCTAACTCTTGTGTCTATGTTGCCTTCTTATTCTCGATTACACGCATCTCTGCCGATCAATCTATCTTCGTGGAATACCCCTCGAAGGACTGCCGATAATATTCTGTCGACACCCTCGTCTCAAAAAGAGTGTCGTTTTTTTTACTTTCAGACATCTTGTTTGACCATCCGTCTTATTCAATAAATTTTTTGTATAAATATCATATATTTTGTTATGACTTATTTTATCATTAGAGATACTTTAATAATGATTTATTTATTTTATGATTTACACAAAATTTTTGAATAAAACGAACGATCAAAATGATGTCTGAAATTAAAAAACGTCATTCTTTTTTACGAACGGAGTATTTCATCTATAGAAAACCTAATTAGGTGAGTTAGTGCATTGTTGTTCCAAAAACGAGTCATTATAAGGTACGACATGTAAAAGGATCCATTTGTCCTATTCAATGTGGTCACGTCTTTAGAGCAACCATTTTTTTTCTACTAACAAAGAATATATTATATATTAGAAAAAAGTTGATAGTAGGAGTTGCTGACACGGTCAGCACAAGAAAATCCGTATCCCAAGCTCCACCGTTTCACCAAATTGGCAAGAAAGCTGCCGCTACCAATCCACCATTGCGATTTGCGAGAACCTCTAAATACTATCAGAATCTTTCGCCATTCGATAACGCTGGTGATGGAAATGGAGCTCCTGATCCGACTTTAATCAGAGCCATCGGCCTCCCAAAATAGGGTTCAAATAGGGGCAGGGAGCAAGGAGCCATACCATTTTTAGCCGTTGCCGCAGCTGGTCGTCGTCGTCGTCGCTGCTCCCAATCTGCGGCCGTCGGTGTTGCCTTCGCTTCTAATCCACAAGAGAGAGCAGCACCGACCGAGCCGATCCGCTCCTCTTCTTGGTTCTTGGTCAATAAATCAGCAGAGCAGGAAAGATCTGTGAGGGTTCTTGCAGTCGGCAGGTGATTTGCATTTTCTTCAATTAGTTGCGTTCTTTCTCGGGAGTTCTTGTCCTGATTGCTCGTCGTTTAATACGAAATGCGATAAATTCCGGGTTTTATTTTCGAAATGGTTGTAGGGGTCCAGGATTACGAAGGAAACCAAGAACGCAAGGAACATCTAAGAAGAGGGGAGGAAAGATTTGGGTGTAGATTGGTAGATATATTACACAGGTTTTCTTTTGGAGTAGGTTATTAGCAAATAGATCGGTGGAGAAGAAGCCTGGCAAAAAGAGGAGGTGAAATTTGTGGAGAAGAACATGTTTGGGATCCAAACCAGGGACGTGGCAGATGATTTCAACTCCTGGAGGAGGACATTACGGAACACACCCACGGCATCGATGCCCACCAACACCCACACCATTAGGTACAACACAGGCAAGAAGAGTTTGTTCAGTGTACACCTCATGTCTGTCAAGTTTGAGGACCTGTACGAGTTCATGGTGGAGGGCAATGTGGATGATGTCAATGTGCTGAACGAGGTGAGGGAGAGGATCAGGGAGCAAGGCAGGGTGTGGTGGGCTCTGGAGGCAAGCAAGGGTGCAAATTGGTACCTCCAACCAAAGATTTCTTCAAATGAGGGGGTGATCAGTGTCACATCACTCAAGTTGTCAGTGCTCACTAATACAATTACATTGAGGAGGTTGATCAGGAAAGGTGTGCCGCCGGTGCTGAGGCCAAAGGTTTGGTTATCTGTGTCAGGAGCAGCCAAGAAACTGTCAACAGTACCAGAAACATACTATGACGAGCTAATTCGTGCTACTGAGGGGAAGACCACGCCAGCCACAAGGCAAATTGATCATGTGAGTTTTGTGAAGATGTTATGGACTTGTTATGTGGAGATTGATGCTTTCTTATCTTGCAGCATATAGAACCCATGTTTCTTTGTGGTCACTATTCAAGTTTAAAATAGAAAGATGGTCCTTTCATACTGTAGTTTGTGTTGGTAAATCTTAAGTATTGTCACTAGTTTACTCTGTTATGCCAGAAAATTAACTCCATCAAAATAACCTAAAGAGACTGCATCTGCATAAATTCACTTCGTTACAAATGTGGGTGTTTCATTTTATAATTTTCTTGTTTCGATACAATTATGTTGATAGTAATAGTAATACAGATAGGGATTTTACAGGATCTTCCTCGCACTTTCCCTTGTCATCCTTGGTTGAACAGTGACAAGGGTCAGGCATCTCTGCGACGTGTACTTGTGGGGTACTCATTCCGTGATTCAGAAGTTGGATACTGCCAGGTTAGCATAGTGCCAGATTATAAAATCAGATTATATCGTTAAGCACATCCATCACTAACTGCATCGGCTGCAGGGTCTAAACTATGTAGCTGCACTCTTGTTGCTTGTGATGAAGACAGAGGAGGATGCATTTTGGATGCTTGCTGTACTCCTTGAGAATGTACTTGTCAGTGATTGCTATACTGACACTCTTTCTGGATGCCATGTCGAGCAGAGGGTGTTCAAAGATCTCCTGGCTAAGAAGTGTCCAAGGTATTTCTTTCCCTTTATGTTTTTGACATGCCACCACTAACCAGTATAAATCCGAAACCATGAGGCCATGATTTCTTACTGTATTTTAATGGGCATTGATGTAGGATTGCTGCTCATCTTGAAGCAATGGGGTTTGATGTTTCACTTGTTGCTACAGAATGGTTTTTGTGCCTCTTCTCAAAGAGCCTGCCTTCAGAGGTTACACAAAAGTTCCATCAGTATATTTATGTTTTTTTTTACCGCAAAAGACTGTGGGGGAGATCCCCACAGTGATAGATTTTGTATTTACTAAAAGGTAGAACGTACTTACAAACAGGGATTAACTAAAAGCATCCAGCCAAACACAAAAGGATGACCGCAGGTCGTCCTTGAAACGAACAGACTGCAAGAAACATTGATTTTTAAAGTTTGCCAACCAGGCCGATGGAGTTGGATTACGCCTCTGAAAAACCTTGTCATTGCGCATCTTCCACAACTCCCATGCTGCTATCAGGGCTGCCTCCATGAAGAAAGGAACATTGTGAACCTGTCCCACCTGTACCAATCTATCCGAAAGTTGCAGTGTGTCATTCCAGTCAAAATGGATGATTGCCCAACATTCCTTCGCGAAGGGGCAGTCGAAGAATAAGTGATCAATGGTCTCCTCTTCACCATGGTTGCACATGACACAGATGTTATCATCCTGTATGTTCAGATGTCGTCTCTGGAGCATAGACTTGGTATTCAAACGGTCCACCAGGACAAGCCGCGCAAAGAATTTCACACGTGGAGTGCATCTAGATTTCCAGATGGCTTTGAAGATTGAATGTGCTTCCATGGTACTGAAGACATGAGAGTAGAAACGCCGTTAAGTATACACATTGCCCCAGGTGGGCAGCCAACAATCCTTGGCATCAGCATCGTATTGCAGGTTCTGTAGTTGCAGTTGCAGGACTTCATATTCCTCAAAAGCTTGCTGCGAGAGCGGGAGGAAGAAAAGTTCATCAAGGTCTGTTGCTTGCATGACCTCTAGCACTGAGGCATTCTCATTACTTGCAAAGGATGCTAACCTTGGAAACTCTTGGGATAGAACGGCATTAGACCACATATCATCCCAGAAACAGACTGTCGAACCATCCCCAATCTCACACTTGGCAATGCCTCGGAAGATGATGCTGAGACGAAGAACATCCTTCCACCAGAAGGAGCCAAATTCCCTAGATGCATGGGGTACTTTGGTGGTATAATATTTGCTCCACACAAGGTGTACCCATGGGGTGTCAACTTTGTTATAGAATTTGAAGAGATGTTTGAGTGGTAGTGCATCATTTTGCAATATGAGGTTAAGAACTCCCAGTCCCCCTTTCTCCTTGGGCTGCATAACAACTTCCCATGCAACTAAATTCCCCCCTTTCTTTTGGGCATCATTACCTCTCCAAAGGCATTGCTTTCGTGCTCTGTCGATGTTGTCAATGACCCCTTTTGGTAGCTTGATGGTACACATAGCATATGTGGTGATGGGGGTTATAGCCGAGTTAACCATTTCCAAGCGACCCGAGTAAGAAAGCCATGTGGAGCACACAGAGAGCCTCCTCTCTATTCTGTCCATCATCGGGGTGAAGTCCTCAATGTGTGGCTTGGTCGTGCCCATGGGCAAACCCAAATACGTGAACGGCATAGAACCAATATCACAGCCCAATGTGTTTGCCAGATGGGTCATCTTCTCCTCATTGACATTGATGGAGTACATATGTGATTTACTGTAGTTAACTTTAAGCCCGATTGACTCCGAAAAGCTGTGCAACAAAGCCTTAAGAAAGATCAGCTGGCTAGCATTGGCTTGCAGCATCATCAGCGTATCATCAACGTACTGAACTATTGGAAAATCCCCAGTTGGTTGTGGAATTGGAACTCTGAGCAAATTCATAGCAGCAGCCCGGTTGATTAAAATCTGCAGAAGTTCAGCCGCTATAACAAAGAGGAGGGGCGACAAAGGATCGCCTTGATGGACCCCTCTCTTGCACTTGAAAAAATTTCCTGGGACGCCATTGAGTAGGACAGCAGATGAACCTGAAGAAAAAATGGCTTGAACCCAATCCAACCATCTCTGTGGGAACCCCATGTGAGCCATAACTTGCACAATAGCTGAATGTTCCACTGTATCAAACGCTTTCTCGAAATCTAATTTTAGGATGATGATCTCTCTTTTCGACTGATGGCACTGGTGAATGTACTCATAACTCCATGCTAAGCAGTCTTGAATCGTGCGAGAGCGAATGAAACCATATTGATTTTGACGAACAACTCTCAAGATGACAGCCTGCAATCTGTCAGCTAGAATCTTGGTGATGACCTTGAGCGAGATGTTCATTAGGGAGATGGGGCGAAAATCATTTACTGTCTCTGGACTGTCCTTTTTAGGAACCAGGGTGATATAAGAAGTGTTGATGCATCCAAGATTAATCTGACCCGAGAAGAACTTTGAGCAAAGGGAGTAAAAATCACCTTTGATAAGTTGCCAACACTTTTTTAGGAAACGGCCGTTAAAACCATCAGGGCCTGGAGCCTTGTCAGCCGGCATACGCTTCACCACCAAATCCACCTCCTCATGCAGAATTGGGGCAGCAAGAGAATCTAGGTCGTTCACTGGCGTGACAAGGCTACAGAGGTCAAAAAGCATAGTAGGTGATGACGTGGTACCCATGCGATTTCTGAAGGAGTTCCAGAGAAGGCTTGCCTTCCCTTCATGGTCGTGGATCCAAATGCCTTGGTCATTCATGATCTGCGCAATGGAATTTCTTCTATAAGAAATAGTAGCCATGCCATGGAAGAATTTTGTATACTCATCACCCAACTTTATTCTATTGACTGTGTAACGATTCCTCCAGTAGAGATTCTTGTATCGCAACCAAATTTGAAGTTGTTTCTTGACAACAGCCCGTAGGTTTGCTTCTGCATTAAAAAGGCCTCTTATATCCTCCAAAGCATCTAGAAAACCAATGACTTGGTTGCAGTTTCTGATGAGCATTCTTAGATTTGATAAATGCTTGCTCCAGTCCTTCAGTCTGGCTCTTAGGGCCTTGAATTTGGAAGAGATGGTACGAGCAGCATCACTGTTAGCTGGCGTAGAGGTCCACGAGTCATATACTGTGTCTAGGAAATCATCTTGCTCTGCCCAGAAATTCTCAAAACGGAATAGATTAGCTCTAGGAATTTTTGTGCTAATCACCACCTTGCATGGAATATGATCCGAAGTGATCTTTGCTAAAGGGAGGACCTCTGTGTTGGGGAAGTCGATGGTCCAGTTGGTGGACGTGAAGAACCAATCAAGTTGCTCAAGCAACGGATCGGATTGCATATTGCTCCAAGTGAATGCCCGACCCTTCAAAGGCAGCTCAACTAAACCAAGATGCCCAATCGCATCATTGAAAATAAAAGTGTCAGCAAGATTGCCACCGGGTCTATTTCGGTTATTCAGAGAGCGGTAGAAATTAAAATCTCCCAGGAAGATCCAATTCTCTGAGTCAGATATAGCATGACTACGAAACCAGCTGACAAACTCTGAGCGGGCAGGATCATTACATGGTCCATAGACTGTGGTTAGTTTCTAGGTCTCGCTGGTGTGTGTCGCAGTGAAGCTAACCGTGAGACCAAAGCTCTGTTTATCAGTGACTATGCCTGAAAAAACTGCACTGTTCCAGAGAACAAGGATACCCCCAGATGCTCCTACCGAGGGTACATAATCAAAATGGTCAAAACGCCGTGGTGCAAATTTTCTGATAAAGGATATATCAAAGGTTTCTTTCTTCGTTTCTTGCAAACATATTACTGAGCTAGCACTCTCTTCGATTTTATCACGTATCGCATCCCATTTCTCTGTGGCATTGATCCCATGAATATTCCAGCACAAAATAGTCCAGTTACGTGTACCCATTATGTAACAATAAAGGGGAGATGGTAGTTCCTGATATGACTAGCATAATCAGGATGGGCTGCATTTCAGATGGTATATTGATCGAGAGGATGAAGATCAACAGAGAAGTAGAAGCCACATAAGTGAAAATGGTAAGATTGATAGTAGTGTCCAAAGAGGGAAAGATAGTAACATTAAAGCAAAGGACACACTTAAAATCTGGCCACACGACTGTAACAAGATAAAATGAGCAAACTGCCGCCCCAGGCGTTCTACAAAAGTTTACGACAATAGCACTTGGCGATGACTTAATCAGAGGATTCATCATTGGCCACCGGATTGGAAGAGGGCGCCTGCATCAGCGCTTCTTGGGATAACTCTCCAGGAGCTACTCCACAATTGATACCCCAGCCCTGCAGAATATCAAATGGTATTGGTCCAGTTTGACCCGCAGGCTCGACAAGCAGTACTGGACATGTCTTTGTCTTCTTGCATGGATTTCCAGCCAACCTGACCTCATGGAAGCCATCCTTGTCACTAAGTCTTGTGCTGCGTCTCACAGTACTGTCCACCAGTGGAGTAGCAGGATTACTAGAGACATCGGGTAGAGACATGTTATTGTTCGTCCTTGTGCTGCGACTAACAGAGCCTTCCACCACTGGCGAGATTGTGTTACTTGAGGCCACAGGCAGGGAGAGCATGGCAATCCTCCGACGTTGGTATACTCTCATGCCTGCTTCACCACATGGACTGGGCTGCATTTGCTCACTTTGAAATTCAAAACCTGACGAGCCAGAAGTAGCTGGGCCCTGCTTGACACGAGGATCAGGCAGGATGATAACAGAGGACCTTGGCTGAGCACATGCTGCCCGACGACTCGCCACAACAGATGGCCATAGCTGGAGAGCTAGAGCAGGAAGGACCGGCTTCCAGGTGACAATCTCCATGCCTGTGATAGCGGGCGTTGGCGAGGACAGGTTGAGGGATGGTTGCAGAACAGCTCTGTCAATCACAATGGGTCCCATGTTGTCATTGGCCTGAGAAGATGAGGCCCTGTGGAATACTTCATCAGGCATGTCATTGGCCATAGAGGATCCTGACAGCTCGAGATCAAGGTGATCCTGAGGAAACTGAGGATGCTGATGGAGCACCTGACCATTGTCAGCAGCAAACACGGCAGGGTTCCATGCTGGCCACTCATCATCAGCTTCATCTACTTCCATGTTGTCCACATCTAGCTGCTGATTCTGCTGCAGACCTGGGTGTTGCTGCACCGGGCCCTGCTGGGCATGCTGAACTGGTTGGTTAGGCAAAGGGTTCGGGGGATCCGCGCGAGAATCGAGGTTCAGCTCAATTTCCTTGCCTTTTGGGATTTTCGGTTTCCAAACCAGGTGGGGAGCAGTATTCGTAACAAAAAATTTGGTGCAGTCAAACTTTCGTTGCCAGACCCAATTGGGTCGGGTACGTGACCGGCAATGCTTTCTAGTATGTCCCCAATTAGAGCATTTCCAGCATCGGATACGAGAGGGACAATTGGAGCTAATATGGCCCAAACTTGAGCAACGGGAGCAGAAAGGCCCAGAGACAGCAGATTTGGAATTTGACAAGAGGGCCATAGTCCCGCGCTGATTGAGGGAATCTTCCGAAACAGCCGCGGAAATCTCTCCAGGCCGCTGCATGCAAGGAGGACGTTGCGTGTAATCCTCTCCAGGCTGCTGCATGCAGGGAGGACGCTGCATGCAATCAGGCCGAAGAACACGATTATGGGCTCCGCCAATTTGAATTTTGGTATTCCCAAATAGAAGATTTGTGGATTCTTTGATAGGAGCAGAGAAAGCACCAAAACAAATTGACGATTGTGGAGAGTGCTTAGGAGGAGAATGATCAACCAAATTCTTAGCAAAACTAACTCTTTTTTGAGGTTTGGAGGCCTTTATAGCTTCCCTCTTGGATCTCTTAGAGAGTACTTTTGTCCATTCTTTCTCCTGCTCTTCTTCCCAGGCACGTTTCTCACGCTCCCAATGAGGCGTGCCATTGTTCCATAGGTGAAAGTATAGATCATAGGTAGAGGTGATCACTCTACAAAGTCTATACACATGCAATCCGACTTGTTTGGAAAAGACCGAGAACCGATAATGATTATTGCTCAGAAAAGTCACATGGAAATCCAAAGCACGGCCTCCCAAACAAGATTGTAAAGCCAGAGAAACTGAATCTTCCGTTAAACGAAACAAGTGACGCCGAAAGGTGACAAGAAGGAAGAATGAGCCATCGGGGGAGTGGTGAGGATGGTGCACCGGAGATTTGTATAGCCGGCGGACCTCATCTTGGAATTGCAGCCCAAGATCAAAGTACATCCGGGAGGCCAAATCCGATGCTGAACCCATGGCCTGCCGGAGGGGATCAGGGAATCACCGGTGAGCCTTGCTTGGATGTTGTTGCCGCAAAACCTCGAACACCTTGCAAGCAAGATCCGTAGAAGCTTCCTCGCCAAGGAGCCAGCTCAGGTCTTCTGGACACTAGCAAATCGGCGGACGCCAAGGCCGGAGAAGGCAGCAGCAATGTCGATGGCCACCGGGGTCGGGGTCAGGTGGCGAGGGGGACCACGGTCCTGGCAGTGCGCGCAGGCGAGGGCCGCGCCAGGACGAGGCACACCTTGACTGCAGAGGGGACTCGACGGCGACGGCAGGAGTGGCGGCGGAGCGGGGACTCGACGGCCACAGGGAGCGGCTACTTTGACGGTGACGGGACGGGGGGGGGGGGGGGGAGAGCCGCGCCACGGGGCTGCTGCGCCACAGCGGGGAGTGAGGAGCCGCGCCGTGAGTCTGCCGCGACTCACGGTGACGGGAGTGGCGGCATGGCGGCGGGGAAGACAGCGTGCTCCCTTCGAACCGTTGAGGAAGTAAAAGCATGTATATTGTCCCCTGTATGATTTGCTCATAATCATTTGAAGTTTTATTTTCACACTTCTTTTCATTGATGTGAGCAGACAACACTTCGGGTATGGGATGTTTTATTCAATGAAGGAGCCAAGGTTTTGTTCCATGTTGCTCTCGCAATTTTCAAGGTACCTCATGAAGCCTCCTATATACTTCATGTGTCCTGACTCCCCAGCCTATATATATCAGCTAAAGATCACTTTCTTTTCCTTTCACATTACTTATGTCCACCAAATTTGCAGATGCGAGAAGATGATCTACTACACATCCAACATATCGGTGATGTGATTGATATTTTGCAAACAACCACACATCATCTATATGACCCTGATGAACTCCTGACAGTAAATCTTCTTCACTGTTATTTCGTAGTTCTATCCTTCGCTGACATATTCATAATCTTTGAGAAAATTCCTTCTTTGCCGTTGAAATTTATACCCATTGCCATTGAAAAATATAGCTTCTCTTGAGTGCCATTAGTTCTATTTTTCTCGTCCCCTCTATGCCATTTAGGTGGATGACGACCTCATCTCTCTGCCTATTCCCCATTAATTAACGAGCATCCCTGAAAATGAAAACACGGATTAGTCAAAGAAGTTCAGAGAGCATAGAGCATAGCTACAACAGGATGTTTCCGTAGTCAGATACTGCGAGACAGAGAAGGGAAAAGCAGTGCTGTGAGTCAAGAAGGAACACGTCACAGAGAGCGAAGCATAGGGCGGCGAGGACAACACAGTCTACTTTGTGAGTAAGTCAGGGTGTCCTGGGACATCGTGGGCTCCTGGCCACCACCATGCATTAGAGCGCATAGCAGTAGAACTTGTATGTTGTTCCGTGCCGCACTGGCAACGAGGCTGTGCCCAACTTCTGGAGCCACTCGGGCACGGACATATAGCCTGCAATTTGCTGTGCCGGCGTTCACGGAGTTGCCACAAATGCTATTCCTCCCCACGCACCACGACTACTCTATCAATATCGTGGCGTGCGACTGTGCTGCCTACATGGTCGTGCTCTCTGAGTTCCTCGACGCGGCGCGCATGTGGAAGTTCATGGGTGGCGTGGACAGCAGCAGGTGGCACAGGCCGCATCGCTGTCACGCAGTGAGCAGCTGCTGCAGGCGGCTGGGTCTGATTGCAGACTGTAGATGCATGCGGCCGCAATGCGCGGCGCGGTAGGATGGTGGAGAAGTGGCAGCTTAGTGCAGGGAGCAACACGTGCACGCGGGGCAGCGCAGGTAAGGGTACGGGCACGGCGAAAGGTGGGCCATGCAAAGGTTTGAACCATTGTGCTGCCACGACGCCATCACTGGATCCAAGACTTTAAGCTCCATGGCTGCCCTTGAGCTGTGCCATGGCCGCAAGGAGGCAGACGCAGAGGGGCGACACAAACTCCTCTCTCATCCCTTGGCAAGCATAGTGGCCTCATCTTCTCTACTCCTTCCTAGGCGCCGACAACGGATCGCGAGGATGCGCTGCCAGGATGAGCTGCGAAGGGCGCCATCGTGAGGAGGGACCTCATCTTCTTTGTGCCAGTGAGGAGGCACAACCACGTGGCAGATGGCAGTAATAGAGATTTTGCATATAATCTAACGGCAATGGCACAGAACGGAGATAAAAAAATAAAAACAATGGCATAGAAGGGATGATATATTTTTTAGGGATATTTAGATTCTTGCCATTACATTTTTTCAAGTTTTGAAGAATGCCATTACTATTCTTCTTATTGGAAACTTGCCATTACAACTCTTGATACAACACATCCATGCCCTGATCTACGTCTCCCGCGAAGCTGGGCCCACTGGCAGGCGACGTATTCTCGTATAGGACCGTATTGCCCCTGTTCAATTGGATAAGACAGAGCAGCTGGCGTCCATTCTTCTCCCTTCTCCTTCCTCATTCTCCCGCACGCCATTGCCGTCGTCGCTTGCTTGCCCTTGCGGCGTGCCTCTTCTCCCGCCGACGCCGTCCTGCCTTCGCCGCCTGCCATTGTCGAGGATGAGTGGCAACCAGTTTAGGCCACCACCAGCGACTGGCTCTAGCTCGACGCAGAGCGCGTCATTGCCCCCACTCGTGGAGTGCCCGGATTGCCGCGTCCAGCTCGTGCGGATCATAAGCAAGCAGCGGGCCACTTATGGACATTGTGGACATGAAGGTGGTTCTGTCGAAGGTGGTTCTGTCGACCGCATTGTGGACATGAAGCAAGAGGTGAATGCACTGAACAAGAAAATTGACAGTGTCGTGAAGGACGTGTTGGAACTGAAGTTGCAAGTACAGAGGGTGAAAACGGATTATGTTGTGATAGCGGCAGTGTGTGTAGGTGTAGCTTTGGGTTGTATTATGAGCAAGATATGGAACTAGTCAATTGTATGGAGGTAGTCAATTAGGAAGCATTTTGTATGCAAGAGGGTGAACTGGAATCTATGTATGCTGTCTGCACTATGTGCATAATTCCAAGGAAACTGAAACATCACAAACTGAAAACTAAATTTACTGACAATAGCATTGTTTTACAAAAGCATTCAAGCTTGTTCAAGTTTACAAGCAGCATAGGCCATTAAAGGCATTTAGAAAAAGCATCCAGTTTCCGCTTGTTCAAGTTCACAAGTTTGACAAGCCATTACATAGGTCATCACAGAAGTACGGATTCAGTGCATAGGCCATCTCAGGCAATTAAAAGACATCCAGAAACACTACATAAACCTCCAGGCCATCACCTAGCCAGTGACAAGCCATCACAGGCATTACATTACCAGAGACTACAAAATAAGTTCAAAGGCCATCACAAAAGGCCATCACAATCATCAGTCTCACTGTCCATTAGAGATGAGGTCCATCAGGCTTCTCACAACCCTTGCTGGAGGAGCAGCAGCATCCTTTTCAGTTTCTTTTTTAGTGGTGTTTTTTTTCTTCTTAGGGGTTTTCTTCTTCTTTGGTGCTTTATTCTTCTTCACATTTGATGGTCCAGCAGTATCATCTTGTGGTCTCTTCCTGTGTACACACATATTCCAGTTACGTGCTATGACAAATGAAAAGAATACAAATGACAGAAGATCAGTGAAATTAATGTTAACCTTTTATTTGTGCTAGCAATCTCACCATCCTCTCCAACCATTTCAAGCTTGCAAGTCTTGGAGAAGTGGCCAAAACCTCCACACCTTTTACATCTAACTTTCTTTTTGTTGGCCCTTTTCTCTAGGCACCCTCTTTGCCTCACAACCTTTGGCCGACCTGCTGCTCTTCCTAGTAATGGTGGAAAAACCTTGTACCCAAGATCAATTTCTGGCCATTGGAATCTATCTGGCATTGGTTCTACTCTACCTTCATAGGCAGCTCTGAACTTAGCAACAGAGTAATAATCATGCACAAAGTCAGCTACCTGCATATCTCTATTGGACAAGATCCAAGCCAAGGCATGCTTGCATGGCTTGCCAGTTACCTGCCATTCCTTGCATGAACACTTCTGATTCTTAAGATCAGCTATGTGTCGTTTATGGTTATTCCTGTCATCTAGCAGTGTTACCTCTGCAAATTCATCATCACTGACTTTAACCTTCACAACTTTCAGATTTTTGCTTATAAGGTTCAAGTCCTTCATGACACTAGGAAGGATTCCATCTCCCCATTTCTGTGCAATCTTCTTCCTTATGTACCTTTTCTCCATTATCACCTCTCTTTCCTGTTAACTAACTCATGGATATGCAGTCCTTTGAAGTCCTTGATATGAGCATTGAAGCTCTCAGAGACATTATTAGTTAAATAATCACATTTACTTTCCTTAGAGAAGCCACATCTGTACCATATCCTAAGATGATGCTCCTGAAGGTAGTCAATAGCAGCTAGAGCAAACTCCAAGATTTTCTTCATATGCCACCTAAACATGCCTTCTGTGTAGTTCCTTGCAGCAAGATACAGATGGTCAGTGAAAACATCCCCTGAGTAGTGTTTCATGAAGTTATTGTACATATGCCTTATGCACTCCCTGTTTTCAGCCTGTGGGAAAACAGCCCCCACAGCTTTCTCTAACCCTTTACAAGCATCACTACATATTACTAGTCCTGACGGGTCTCCTATGACACTGTGGAAATTCTCTAGGAACCACTTCCAGTTGTCCTCAGTCCCTGAGTGAAACACACCAAATGCAATATGGTGCAACCAGTTATGCCCATCAACACCTGATGCTGAAGCCAACTGTTCAGTATACTTTCCATTCAGAAAAGATGCATCTACTCCTACAAACGGTCTACAACCAGCTAGGAATCCATCAATGCATGGCTTCAAAGCAACAAAAACCCTCTTGAACCTATTCTTCTTACCAATCTTCTCCAACTCTATTTGTACTCTACTTCTAGGTGAACTTATTTCTAGCGGTGCAGCCCAATTGAAAAGAAGTTGAAAGCTTTCCTCATACTTACCATGTATCTGATCCAAGGCTACCTTCAAACTAGACCA